ACTGATATTTTATTCTTAATCTCAACATAATAATAAACACCTTAACATTCCACTTCAACAAGTAGTGCAGAAAAGTGCTTCTTAATAGTACTTAGTGCAGAAAATAAAGCACCTGGAAAACATTCAAGATCATGAACCCAAGGAATAAATTTTAGAATACTTAAAATGTTTACTTCTACAAATGTTAATTTACAGCAATTTCTGTAATTTAGTAGTCGTTTTAGAGAAGTTTCTATACAATTCTTTAGAAATAGTTCGCTCACGATCCAATAAAACGGGGAAAGCTTTCAGGTAGTTACAGTGAGGATTACATCTCACTGTACATCTCAAACTTTAAAAGAAAATTGCTGAGAAACTCGATTAGTTTCCACGAATCATATTATGCTGCGTTATCTGATGAGACTACAACGATGTCAGAGAAAAGAAAAGTCACTAGACTGCTGGAAAATTTTTGACGTAGGAAAGACATTTAAGTTTTTCTAGTAACTGGTCACTTTGTCGTTAACAGTATATACAGGTGTCTCACGTAACTGGTTCGTTATAACTTTTTCAGGTTCCACTATTCGTAGAGATTTGAAATTTTGAGCATGGGTTGTTCATTCAATTTGTTTTTATTACACCCTTTAATTGTACGTAAAAAAATAATAGTAATTGTGTCAATTTAGAGTTTCCTTGCTGTTGTTATGTTATGAACGTATCCCCCCGTAAAGGCCTTGCTGTGATGTCATTGGGAGAATTGACATTTCTATATTTTTATTTATACAGTGTATTTCACTTAAGAAGCCATATACAAAAATATGAAAATATTAAAAAAAAAAGAATAAAATTTAAAAGAAATTAAAATTAAAATATAAAGCGAAATATTAAGTTATAATTTTATTATTGTTAGGTTATCCAACTTGACTCGGTTACCATGGTGATTAAAATCCAAATATTGCAGGTGCTTGTCAAAATTGAAATTGAATTTAAGTGTTTTTAAGGAAAAAGTCTTATTTAATTGGTTTAAAAGGCTGTATTTAACTCAAAATTGATTTATCCAGGGTGTTATAAACAAGGTAAGTGGATTAAACCAAAAAAAAAATATTTTTAATTTATTTCACTTAATTAGAATCGATTTAAATTAACTACAATTAACGAATTTGTTTTGAATGCGAGATAATCGTAAAGAATTCGAATTGTTTTAAAATTAAGTTAGAATTGATAAAAAAATCGGAATTATTATTTTAAGGTTATCCAACTTGACTCGGTTACCATGGTGATTAAGATCGAAAGTTGCTTGTCAAAATTGACGTTGAATTTGAGTTTTTTTAATGAAAAGTACATAATTGGATTTAAAGGTTGTATTTAATTCAAAATGGGTAAATGGATGAAATTATAAGCAAGGCAAGTGGATTAAAGTGGAATTTAGGGTTTAATTTTATTATGATATTCGTAATCTTCATAAAATAACCTTTAAAGTGAGTAAAAACTTGACGCATTTATCTCAAAAAACAAAAAAGTTCGAACTTTCAACTTTTAATTTTGACATATTTGTCAACTTCATAAAAAATCCTTTAAAATGAGTCTAAACTTGACATATTTAACTTTAATATTAATGGAAATACAATCACTTCCGGTTTGAAACGTCAACGTCAATTTTGACATATTTGTCATCTTCATTAACACCCATATAAAATGAGTCCAAACATGACGCACTTATGTCAAAAAACAAAAAAGATAGAATAAAAAATGTTAAACCCGAAGTTAGCAACAATGAAGATAGCAATTTAATTTTTAAGTATTAATACCAACCTTATTTTTTTTTTTTTTATTATATTTTTGTTTTTGTGACAAATATTAAGACATTTTATAAAAATTAAGAGTATGTCAAAATGACATTGACATTTCAAATCGAAAGTCGCTTATATCACGAGTAATATTGGAATTACGTATAAATATGTCTGTCAAAATTGACGTTGACATTTGTAACCGAAAATTGACCATAACTTCGTTAATATTGAAGATAAATATGTCGTGTTTGTACTCATTTTAAAGGATTTTTAATGAAAACTACATATATGTCAAAATTGAGGTTGACATTTTAAATCTGAAGTTAGTTATCATATAATAGATAAATGGACAACTTCATGGTGTTCTTTCATGATGTATTCTTTATTAAAAAAACCTTTAAAACCTTTTAAAATGAGTCCAAAAAACATGATGTTGCTAGATATCACTATGTTGTATATTTTTATTGCACTAAAACTAGAACTAACACTAGACCTAGAACTAGAAAAATTCGGGTTTAGCCGTGCGTCTGAAGATGCGAGGCTAAATTGGTTTAGTTCCCGGTTTAGTACTAGTTTTAATTGTTACTAAGCGTTAAATTGTTGTCTATGTTAGCCGCACGTCTCTAAAGACGGCTAAACCCGAATGTTTCTAGTTCTATATCTAGTGTTCGGAATTCGAGGTACTTGACGATCTCCGATATCTAGATTCATGTTATTATTTAAATTTTATTAATAAACAATTTTTAAATATTTTTCAAAAATTTTCTGATATAAGACACCTTAACATTCTACTTCAACAAGTAGTGTAGAAAAGTACTTATTAATAGTACTTAGTGCAGAAAATAGCTAGAATACCTTTCAACAGGAATAAATTTTGGAATACTTAAAATGTTAATCTGCAGCAATTGGTAACGTAATCGCAACGCAAAGATGCAGACATAAATAAAGTGTCTCTGACATAAAGTTTGCATGATAAATATTAAGTAAGTATAACGATTACGTAAAGCCAACACACACAATTTCAATTTGTAGAATCGAGAAACAGTGTCATGCAGACAACCAAATTGCCTGAGTCATGAAGTTTTCCCGAATTTAATTTCAACCCATTATTTATTAAACCAACTCAATATAAATCGTTTACAAACTTCAAAGCAACACTAAACCAGTTATGTTACACCACAGTCAACCGAAGATCTTCTTCTCCCGAAGAAGACACTTGCGTTGCTGCAGTCTTCCCTCGGCTGGCCGCAATCTGCATCACTAACTCATCTCATGTTGTTCTCGATCTCCCTATAAGTCGCCTGACCCGTGCTCTGGCCTTCAAGTACCTACACAATTTATTTAGTGGGAAGACGAAGAACCAACAAATGCCAAGGGTAAGAGTCTTGTTGATCCGTGTGGCACTTTACAGTCCTCCAAGAATCTTTACTTGATTTATTGCTGTTCTCACATGTTCATGTATGTACAGCGTGTTAATTAATTATCGTACCCGACGTCATCATTGCAAGTATGCAACCAATATCATAATACTGGTATTGCAATACGCAATTTTCGTATTCAGATATATTCAGTGTGATATTGGTTGCATACTTGCAATGATGACGTTGGATACAATAATTAATTAACACACTGTATGTTAATGACATGCCAAGCTGCTTGCTGCAAAGCTTGGAGGTTATACTATATGATACAGCAACGATAAATACTTTCTAATTACAAAAATATAGGATTCGACAGGTCTATTTCTTATTGTTTTAGAATAAAGCTAAAAATAAACTTTTTTATAACATTTCTAAACGCCGCCGAAATCTAGTGTCGTCGAAGAAATGAAATTTACAGTTTCCTGTAAATTACAGGGCGGTAGGTAAAATCTAAAATGTTAAATAAGAAGATAACTTCTGGTATTTAAAAACAAATAATTATGTTTATTATACCAACTGTTAATACGGAAACATTTAATGGATTGCATTGTTTTGGATTGGAGAAATATGTTTTTTTAATTTTTAGTTATAGTATCATAATTTACAGGAAACTGTAAATTTAATTTCTTCGACGATACTAAAAAGTTTATTTTTAGCTGAAGAAGAAAATTGTGATATCTCAAAATCTAAAACCGAAAAAATTTTTTTGACTACGTCATCAATTCTCTAAAATTCAATAAAGTTTAAACGTCAATGTGATACAAATTTAATGTTACTAACTGTAACCAACTTCACAACAATTTGTCAAAATTAAATGTCAATTTTATAAAATGTCGTTTTCTTTACGAAAATTAATTAATTTATGCTTAAATCATACGAAAAGAGGAATTTGTTTAGGGTCTTTTTTCAAGCTTTGTAACTATGATTACTACATTCATATATTACGAGTTATATGAAATAAATAATGTAAGTTGATATAAAAAAGATTCATTAACAATATTAATCAAGATGAAAGTTCATAAACTTCTCATCTTTTTGCGTCCAAACTTTAAAAACATCACACTTTAACTGACACCAAGCACTTTGATAAAGAAAAGATTTCTTTTTCGCTTCCCCATAACTCAAATCTTTAATAAATCCCTCCAATTGAATCATTTCTGCAACGTTTAAGAAATTCCTGAATAATTCAACCTTTGAAATTTGTAATCGAGAAGCTTTTGTACCAATTTTGTTCTTCGTTACACCCTGCTTAATACCTTCAATAGCAACCTCCGGTTTTCTAAAAGCAAATAATCCCAAATCATTTAAATCAAGACATTTTTGTTAACCTACATCATAAATTTATTCCAAGAAATGGAACTTGGGCAAAGTTGATTTTTTTCGTCGCATTTTTTAAACTCAAATTCTTCGTTTGATTGATAAATAATTAAGTTGTGTTTAAAATAATGATTGCAATGATTAAATTCGGTGTGGAATCGTGCGTTAAAAGCTCGATTTAAAGATTCTTTATTAAAAGGAATGTTTCCTGATAAGGTTATGGTGCTTAAATAAATGGGGTTTTTTAACAAAATAGAGAGAAGGGCTCCTTGTATACCAATATAACACCATTTTAAGATTTTATCGCTGCACGATATTGATAAAGTGGGATCACCTCGTCCTAAAAAAAAATTTGAATTAAAAAATTAATTAATTAAATCAATTTTTAACCTGGTTTAGTTCTTATTAAACCAATTTTGTGGTATAAATCCCCTTGTAAGTGTAGATCTTGTTCTTTAGAATTTTTTAAACATTTCGCCCCTGTTCTATAAATATCAAGTTTTCTTTTTTTGGTTGGCACGTCTTCGTTTTCTTCGATTTTTAGGGGGTTACCGAAATTATCTTGATTTTTAGGAAAAATGGACGCATCTCCACATGGGATATGAGTTGTAAAGAAATGAAAATTCACTTTATTGTTAAATTCGAACTTTGAATCATTCACATTAAAAATCGATTCTTTTTTATTTAAACAACCTTTAATTTCTGAGTAAATATACAAAAGAAAGGATCTCCTACATATAATTTCAGCGTGTGAGTCATTTAATATATCACCTTTCAGAGACATTTTATTTTGACCAATACACTTTGTTCCCGTGCCTAAAGCGACAACTTCAAACTTATTTAAATCTGGAATTTCTTGGATTATTGTTGATAAAATTGTGCATTCGTTTTTATTTGGTTTTCCGGTTTTGGGTAATTTATTAAATTGTTCGAAAGAAATTTTAGAAATTTTGTTACAAAAATCCATATTTATTTATCTTAATTAAGCAACATCGGTGGGATCCCAAGCAAACTTAGTCATAGTCCCGATATTATTCAATTTATCCAAATCTTTCTCTGGGATTTCAAAATCCAAATTAATATTTTCTTCAATATGACTTTTTGACCGAGCCTTTGGAATTATGCCAACACCTTGTTGCACCGCCCATTTAAGCAAAACTTGCGATGGGGATTTATTTAAATTCTTTGCAATTTCAACCACAACCTCATTCGTCATTAAATCCGGATTATTCGTTCCTCCAAGTGAAGAATAGGCTTGAAGTAAAATTCCTTTTTGTTTGCAATAATTTTTTAAAAAGGGTGCCACTCAACCTAATTTAACAAATAAAATAAATTAAAATAAAATTTTTATTTTTTGAGGTTACGTATTTCATTTTTTGAGGTTATGTATTTCATTTTTTGAGGTTATGTATTTTATTTACCTGATTAACAGCAGGAATTTCAGAATTACTTTTATCCAACTCCTCCAAATGTTTAATAGTGTAATTAGAAACTCCAATATCTTTAACTAATCCTTGTTTTTTCGCTTCAATTAATTTCTCCCAAGTTTTAGCTCTAATCGCTATATTGCTTGGATCATGAATACTAAGTCGAGATTGACCCGGCCAATGAACCAAGTACAGATCTAAATACCCACAATCTAAATTTTTCAAAGATTGTTTAACTGCATCTAAAGCTTTTTCACCATGATCACTCGGAGCTACTCAAAAAAAAATTTTTATTACTTATTCAAGTAAAAAATTGCAATATTTTCTTACAAAGTTTAGTTGTTATAAAAATATCTTCTCTTTTAAGATTATATTTAGGTAAAAGAGTCTTTAAGGCACTTCCAATATCGGTTTCGTTCCCATAAACTGCTGCTGTATCTAAAAAAATTGTGACATAACCTCAAAAAATTTCCAAAAATCTTATTTATTTACCGATAGATCTATATCCAGCGCCTAAAGCGTAATCTAAAACGTCTCTAATTAACGATGTGCCTCGAATTTGATAAGTTCCAACTAAATAAGAAAGAATTAATTTAATAATAAATAAATTAATTGAAAAAAAGTTTTACTTACAGCCTACAATAGGCATTTTTCTGCCACTTTTTAAAGTTGCTTTTAACGTTTTAGTTTCCATTTGAGATTATATTTAATTATTTATGTCTTAACAATAAGAAATTCAACAATTTAAGTTCAATAACAAAGTGAACAATAAAATTGTATGTTACTAAAACTCTTTTATATGGTAATTACAATAACAAATGTGTGCTAAATAAATAAATAAACCGAGATATTTTGTGTAAAATAAATGTTTAATCATAAAAAAATAAAGATTATAATTGTTATAAACAGGAAAAAAAATATTTTTTTATCAAATTTGATTTTAATGGAAATTTTTATTAATTATTACTAAATTCAATTTTATACAACTAAAAAAAGTTTTTATTTGATTAATTTTTATTATTTTTTTTATAAATAATCTTAAAAAGTAGAAACATTTCGTATTTTTAAGTTGGTAAAGGAAATGAAATTTTATTTGAAAAAACAACCGGGAGAGGCGCTCTTTTCGCGTTGTGCTTTTACACTGTCAAAATGGTTAGTATTATTTCATCTATTTTTATCGTAATCATCTTTATATTATTATTAAAAAATCGTTAAAATTAAAATTTTTCACATTTCATTTTATATAAAACCATACTTTAATTGAGAAAATCTCATAATCGTTTGATGAAAAATCGCTCGATTTAAGCATGGTAAACAAACGTCACTTTAAATGATTTTCCTTTAATTTTATTTATTAATTTATGAATTATCTTTGTATTTAAACATATTAATCATCTTTATAATCAATTTAATTTTGTATATTTAATTTAGTCTCAAAATTTAATCAAAATTAAATTAACATAACCTCAAATATCTTGACATAACCTAAAAAAATTTCTTTATTTGTAGACTGAAGGAACCGCAACGATTCATACACGCAAATTTATGACCAACAGATTGTTGTGTCGAAAGCAAATGGTAGTGGATGTGCTCCATCCTGGACAACCATCAGTTAAAAAATTAAATATTCGTGAAAAATTAGCAAAAATTTATAAGGTATGTTTATTAATTATTAATTGATTTATTATTTAACTTATTTTAATGTTTTAGACAACATCAGATTTAGTATTCGTTTTTGGATTCAAAACAAACTTTGGTGGTGGTAAATCGACGGGTTTCGCCTTAATTTACGATACGTTAGATTTCGCAAAGAAATTTGAACCAAAACATAGATTAGCTAGACACGGAATGTTCGAAAAGAAACAACAGACAAGGAAGCAAAGGAAGGAACGTAAGAATAGGATGAAGAAGGTTAGGGGTACTAAGAAGAGTAAAGTTGGCGCTGCAGCCAAAAAGGTAAATTAAATTTTTTTTTAATAATAATTAAAATTTAATTAAAAAATTTTTGGATGCTAAATTTAATTTAAATTAATTTTAATTGGCCTACATATAAAAAACAGATTTCTAAAAGATGTAATTTTCTCTTTATTTTATTTACTTTTACTTTATCAATTTCTTTCAGGGTGGAAAAAGATAAATAATTTTCTTCCTCTTCAATTTTATTTCTTTTCACATTTAGGTATAGTGTTTTTGTTGTGTGGATTTTTATGCACGTATTTTTGGTTTATTTTAGACAAGTTTATGTCTAGCAGTAAAGCATTTAATTCTTTTTTTTGTATTAAATCGCCTCATTTACCTTAAAGTATAAGTTTGAAAACATCTTAATCTATAATAAACTTCATTTTTGATGCTAATTCATTAAATTCGTTTTTTGAAGTGATTTAACTAATTTTTTTGTTTTTTCTTTTTCAGTAAATCAATGTCTTAAAAAGCACTGTGTTGTGGGACACTTTTGTTAATGGATACATGTTTATAAGTTTTGAATTGTGTAACACAATAAATAACATCTGAGTGCTATTTATTTTGGTTCTTAATGTCAACCTATTTTCCTTTATATTTAATTAATATTCCTTGATTTAATCCTCTTTTATAGGTTCTAAGATTTTAATGGTGGACACAAATGTTTATAACTGATTTTATGTACACAATTTATTTAGTGGGAAGATGAAGAAGTTGAAAATATTATGCCCAGCTGAAAACTTTGTGTATCCCATTTGATACCTCAATCAAGAATCAAAAAAATTCTGAATATTAACCAACAAATGCCAAAGCTAAGAGTCTTGTGGATCCTTGTGGCACTTTGTCCTCCAAGAATCTGTACTTAATATTTGCTCTTCTCACATGTATGTTAATGACATGCCAAGCTGCTTTCTGCAAAGCGACTATAAAGGTCTATTTTTTATTGTTTTAAAATAAAGCTAAAAATAAACTTTGAAGCATTTCTAAACGTCGTCGAAGAAATGAAATTTACAGTTTCCTGTAAATTACGGGGCGGTAGGTAAAATCTAAAAAGTTAACAATTAAATAACAAGATAACTTCTGGTATTTAAAAACAAATAATTATGTTTATTATACCATCTGTTAATACGGAAATATTTAATGGATTGGAGAAATACGTTTTTTTAATTTTTAGATATAGTATCATAATTTACAGGAAACTGTAAATTTAATTTCTTCCACGATACTAAAAAAAAGTTTATTTTTAGCTTTATTCTAAAACAATAACTCAAAAATTTTTTTTGACTACGTCATCAAGTTCTCTGTAAAAAAGTGTCCATATAATATCTTAGCTATAATACTCCACCTATAATAATAACCAAGATAATTGCACTTGCTGGTTTTACGATATTTTCAATTTTGTCCTCTAGGGGAAAAACAGAAGACGATAGCGCTTTGAGGTTTTCGACATTGGAACTTATTTAAAAAAAGAGATCAAGACATGTAAGCTACTTTTTTTCTAACTCTTATAGTTTCCGAGATAGTCTATTTGGACATCGAATTTGAACCATCCTGTACATGGAAGCTGGTGGTTCAAGAACAATCTTAAAATACTCTAAGAACTCTGGGCCATAATTTGTTGTAACTGACAATTTTTTGACGTTTAATGGTGTAAACGGCGTCATTTCAGTTCCTTACTTTTTTTTTATAAAACATGATGTGATATATCCATCGAATAGAATGAAATATGATCTATCAAAACATGCAGTATTTATACTAAAATTGGTGCAAAAACGCACTAATGAGATGAACAGTATAATTTATTATTTATCGTGATACTTCGCAAAGCACTATTCATGTAAATGAACGCTAAACTTACTACACATATATTGACACACTATGTCCGTAAACGTCTATTTCTAGGGAATTCACCGAATAAATGCGTCTAATCTGGTTTCTGATAATACGAAAGATGATGTAATCCTTATATCTCACCATCTCAATGGTGTGTTTTTGCACCAATAATGTTTCAAGACGTATTTTCAGAATTTATATCTTTATTTCGCGTTTCAAGATATACAGTGCGTTTCAAAAGTAACCGTAAGTAACGGATAAATTCGATAAAATCATTACAAACAATTTATGAAAAAATCGCTGAAACAGGTCTAAAGATTTAAATTTTTTGCAATTTTTTGGCGTATATTTTAAATTTTTTCCGCCATTTTTAAACGAGTTATGACGTCATCGAAGAAAGATCTTAAATCGAACACCCCACTTTTTATATCGGAATTTAAAAGAGGATTTTTTTCTGAGTTATGTACAATAAATATTAATATCGGTTACATAAGAAAATTTTCGAGAAAAATTAAAGTTTCATTATTTCCCATTCATTTGATATAGAATATAGCAGTAGCAGTGCGTAACCATGGCAACCAATTGTTTTGATTTGACATTTCCAAGTGTCAAAATTCAATTTGAATTGAATTATTTATTTAAATTAATTATAATATATTACTATATATTACTATTGTACTTGAGATACAAAAGTAGCAATAGCTTGTTGCAACAAATGCATCAAAAGAAAAAAAAAATTTAAACTTTAAATTTACAAACATAACATAAAAGATAGAAAACAATAATATCATTAATAGTGAGTTTAGACATGCATGGATTCAAATAACAACGAATAGCGATGAATAACAACAATTAATAAAAGAAACTCCACAATACTACTCAAAATAATCTCATTAACGCACAATAAATTGTTTCAAATCGAATTTTGACTCGTGGAAATTTTAAATCAAAACAATTGGTTGCCATGGTTACGCACGGCTACTACTATTTTTTATATCATTTTAAATTAATTTTGCTCGAAAATTTTCTTATGTAACCAATATTGATATTTATTGTATATAATTCAGAAAAAAATCCTCTTTCAAATTCCGATATAAAAAATGGGGTGTTCCATTAAAAAAAAACTTCTATGACGTCATAGCTCGTTTAAGAATGGCGGAAAAAATTTAGAATATACACCAAAAAATTGCCCGTTTCAGCGATTTTTTCATAAATTGTTTATAATAATTTTATCGAATTCATCCGTTACTTTTGAAACGCACTGTATATATGAGGAAAACATGGACTAAAAACTTGCAAATGTCAAAATTTTAAAGAATTTTATGCACTAAAAATAGTTTTATTTCTATTGTATATTTTGAACAGAAATTTTCAATAGAAAAGAATTGATGCAAATATTTTGATATGTATAGCCTAACAACCTTATAGTGGAATCGTACAAACACGTAACATGTTGGTTACCATAGCAACGAAACTAAGAATAATACAAACAAACAAATATAGCCAAAATATGCGTCATAATTAACCAGAAAACATTTATTTGAAACATTTTCCATTTAAATCACAAATGCCGTATTTACTAGCTATGTTCCATACCCTGTATATTGTTGTAAATTTTAGCATAAACGAAAAATTAAAATCCAAGACTGTACATAGTCCAAATTCATCTTTTGTTAATGGAAACAACACAATATTCTTTACGAACAAAGTTTTTGGAGTCCATATTCCAGTGGTATTCGGGGCATAACCAGCAGCGTACTGGTTTGTCTGATGCCATCTTGCGATGTCAACTTTTCTTTTGGTTGTTATGATGGATGTTCACTTGAGCGTTTCTGTATGCATTGCTCCACGCCATAATTTTGTTATGTCTGCTAAGGACGCGTGTGATATTTGTCGAAAGGGATTAACTAACTTCAGATTTAAAATGTCAACCTCAATTTTGACATATTTGTAATCTTCATTAAAAATCCTTTAAAATGAGTACAAACACGACATATTTATCTTCAATATTAATGAAATTATGGTCAACTTCCGGTTAGAAATGTCAACGTCAAATTTGACATATTTGTAATTGTCGTGAAAAATTCTTTAAAATGAGCCCAAACATGATACGTTTAATTCCAATATTACTCGAGATATAAGCAACTTCCGATTTGACATGTCAATGTCATTTTGACAAATTCTTAATTTTCATAAAATGTCTTGAAATTGATCACAAAAACAAAAATACAATAAAAAAAATTAAAAATTAAGGTTGGTATTAATATTTAATAGAAGTAATTAAATTGCTGTCTACATTGTTGCTAAGTTCGGGTTTAACGTTTTTTTATTAAAACTTTTTTGTTTTTTGAGATAAATGCGTCATGTTTGGACTCATTTTAAAGGTTTTTTAATAAAGAATACATCATGAAAGAACACCATGAAGTTGTCTATTATATGATAACTAACTTCAGATTTAAAATGTCAACCTCAATTTTGACATATTTGTAATCTTCATTAAAAGTCCTTTAAAATGAGTACAAATACGACATATTTATCTTCAATATTAATGAAATTATAGTCAACTTCCGGTTAAAAATCTCAACGTCAATTTTGACATATTTATAATTTTCATGAAAAATTTTTTTAAATTTCCAATATTACTCTAGATATAAGCAACTTCCGATTGGAAATGTCAATGTCATTTTGACATATTCTTAATTTTTATAAAATGTCTTAATATTTTTCACAAATATACAATAAAAAGAAAAATAAAAAATTAAGGTTGGTATTAATATTTAAAAATTAAATTGCTATCTTCATTGTTGCTAACTTCTGGTTTAACATTTTTTATTCTATCTTTTTTATTTTTTGAGATAAGTGCGTCATGTTTCGACTCATTTTATAGGTTTATTAATGAAGATGACAAATATGTCAAAATTGACGTTGACGTTTCAAACCGGAAGTGATTGTATTTCCATTAATATTAAAGTTAAATATGTCGAGTTTGGATTCATTATAAAGGAATTTTTTATGAAGTTGGTAAATATGTCAAAATTAAAAGTTGAAAGTTCGAACTTTTTTGTTTTTTGAGATAAATGCGTCAAGTTTTTACTCACTTTAAAGGTTATTTTATGAAGATTACGAATATCATAATAAAATTAAACCCTAAATTCCACTTTAATCCACTTGCCTTGCTTATAATTTCATCCATTTACCCATTTTGAATTAAATACAACCTTTAAATCCAATTATGTACTTTTCATTAAAAAAACTCAAATTCAACGTCAATTTTGACAAGCAACTTTCGATCTTAATCACCATGGTAACCGAGTCAAGTTGGATAACCTTAAAATAATAATTCCGATTTTTTTATCAATTCTAACTTAATTTTAAAACAATTCGAATTCTTTACGATTATCTCGCATTCAAAACAAATTCGTTAATTGTAGTTAATTTAAATCGATTCTAATTAAGTGAAATAAATTAAAAATATTTTTTTTTTGGTTTAATCCACTTACCTTGTTTATAACACCCTGGATAAATCAATTTTGAGTTAAATACAGCCTTTTAAACCAATTAAATAAGACTTTTTCCTTAAAAACACTTAAATTCAATTTCAATTTTGACAAGCACCTGCAATATTTGGATTTTAATCACCATGGTAACCGAGTCAAGTTGGATAACCTAACAATAATAAAATTATAACTTAATATTTCGCTTTATATTTTAATTTTAATTTCTTTTAAATTTTATTCTTTTTTTTTTAATATTTTCATATTTTTGTATATGGCTTCTTAAGTGAAATACACTGTATAAATAAAAATATAGAAATGTCAATTCTCCCAATGACATCACAGCAAGGCCTTTACGGGGGGATACGTTCATAACATAACAACAGCAAGGAAACTCTAAATTGACACAATTACTATTATTTTTTTACGTACAATTAAAGGGTGTAATAAAAACAAATTGAATGAACAACCCATGCTCAAAATTTCAAATCTCTACGAATAGTGGAACCTGAAAAAGTTATAACGAACCAGTTACGTGAGACACCTGTATATACTGTTAACGACAAAGTGACCAGTTACTAGAAAAACTTAAATGTCTTTCCTACGTCAAAAATTTTCCAGCAGTCTAGTGACTTTTCTTTTCTCTGACATCGTTGTAGTCTCATCAGATAACGCAGCATAATATGATTCGTGGAAACTAATCGAGTTTCTCAGCAATTTTCTTTTAAAGTTTGAGATGTACAGTGAGATGTAATCCTCACTGTAACTACCTGAAAGCTTTCCCCGTTTTATTGGATCGTGAGCGAACTATTTCTAAAGAATTGTATAGAAACTTCTCTAAAACGACTACTAAATTACAGAAATTGCTGTAAATTAACATTTGTAGAAGTAAACATTTTAAGTATTCTAAAATTTATTCCTTGGGTTCATGATCTTGAATGTTTTCCAGGTGCTTTATTTTCTGCACTAAGTACTATTAAGAAGCACTTTTCTGCACTACTTGTTGAAGTGGAATGTTAAGGTGTTTATTATTATGTTGAGATTAAGAATAAAATATCAGTACACAATTTTACATATATATATTTTTTATATTTGATTTAAATTTAGTAAATAAACATATATACATCCTTAAGATTAAATATCGTTTGACAAAATTAACAGTTTGAGAGAGAGAAATAAACAATTATATTGTATTTCGGGGATTGTATGATGTATGTATAAAAATATTGAAGGAAATAAAACGAAAACATAAATATAAAACATCGAAAAAAATGTACATAAAAAAAAATATATTTGTTATAATAATTAAACAATAAAAAATAATGATTCAGTCGACATGTACATCTACAAATTGTGAAATATTTGCATCTGTTTCTGTTCCGTTAAACGTAATAATTACAACACGCATCCCTTATTTAATATTAATTTATAAATTATCCGCTAAATCCTTTCTTCACACTTCACGAAAACAATTAAGTGTAACCAAAAAGCGTTTGTTTTAACTCGTTTTTCGTTTCATTCAATGCAAAATAGTCACAAAAAACTATTTTTTTTTTATTCTTCACTAATATTAATCTTTAGTTTTACACGTTTAATATACATTAGTTATGGTTACATAAGTACGCCGAGAAAAGGATTAATATTTCTTTAATTTGTATATAAAAAAAAATCTTATTCACTCTACAGGGTGTACAATTTCAATCAAAAATTTAAAAAAAATAAAAATCACCCAAAAAAAAAGTATTTAAATAAAAAAAATCTCATTTAATTAATTTAATTTTTTAATAATTTTATTTTCGTTTTTTTTTATTAAATTTTAAAGACTATCACTATCACTGTCATAATTATAACCTGCCATAGCAACAATAGGTTCTCTTTGTTGACCCGAATTATTACTTTCCGTTGTTGGCGAATCCTCCTGAGGGTCAGCGGGGTAAAGAGGCGAATCAATATCAACTCCACGTCCAATCGACGGATCAAACGCTTCCTTAATTTGACTACTCGCCCCTTTTGGGTCTAAATCGGTCGCCCAACTGAAATACATTAAAGCTAAATCGTTATTCCCCCTCTTTTTATGAACCTTCCCGATCAAATAATAAACCAAAGATTCCGTCGGAACGATTTCTTTCAATTCTTCTAATTCCCTTAAAGCTTCATCTAATTTTCCCATTGCAAAATAAATCGTACCGCGATGAAATTTACACAACGCGTTTTTCGGGTTATTTTTAATCGCCATATTAAACGATTGTAGCGCTAATTCTGATTTTTTTTGAGCGTGTTGAACAACACCGATATGGCATAAAATAACCGAACTAAACGTGTTTATCGATAAAGCCATGTTATAATGATACTCAGCGAGATGAAAACGTTCTTGTTTCGAATAAATCGTACCAATACCAAACCACGCGTTGTAATGCCTCGGATCTAATCGAATCGCGTTCCGATAACAACTCAAAGCTTTATCTAATTCTTCGGTCATTATGTACTCGTGTCCAAGTAATGTGTAAGCGTATGGGAAATTCGGATCGACTTGAACGGCTCGATGTAAAAATTTAATTGCGGTATCGTGTTCTTTATGTAACGAAAAACAATTTCCGCTTACGATCCATGTAACGGGATTATTTTTATTTAATTGAACTAAATCTTGGGCAAGCGCTGAGAGTGCAACTTCTCTTTGTAAGTGCCATAAAGCTGTTGAATAAATATCCATGTAACTAATTCGAAAAGGTTCTTTCGATCGAATATCACCGAATAATTTAACGCAATTTTCGTAATCCGTCATTTCAAAATAAGCTAACCCCATCATCGAATGTACCCAAAATGTGTTGTATTGATGCGGTGGTAATTGTTGAAATTCATTTATCGCAGCTTTACAATTAAATTGTTTTAAATATAAATAACCTTGCCCGATGTTTCTTAATAAACACATCAAACCTTCCGCGCTTTGTTTTTGTATTTGCGTAGCGGTAATATTTCCATTATTATTAATAACACTTTTATTTTCCGTTGAAGTAACCGTTGAAGACTTCTCTTTCTTTAAGTTATACGCGTTAAAATCGTTTAAACTACATTTGGCTAGACGTTGTTTCGTTTTTCTACTTGGCGATTTCGGCGGGGCGAATTTATTCCGATTCGGGGATTTGTTATTTTCTTTCACCGAGTAACTACTGCTAAATAACCGGGAGCTTCTACGAACGTTTTGACCGGCTGCAATTGGCGCCGGAGTGCTCGGCGAAATCGGAATTGTGTTTGCAACGTTTCGAGATAAATTAAAAGCTGTTTTACTGTTTTGTAAAACTGGTTCTTTACGATTTATGAAGTTTCGAACTTTTTTCGTAAACGATTTCGTTTCGTTTAAGGTCGATTGATTTAACGTGGGGCTGTTGTTATCGTCGCGATCGATTAATGTACCAAAACTTGGGCTAATCTATAAAATAAAATTAATTAATTAAAATTAAATTTAACCGTTTGAGACTCCAAAAACTATTCGCTCACCATGCCTATAATAAAGATTTATTATAATGCAAATAGACGTTGGAGATATATTGATAGATAGAAAAAAGAAAATTGAGTTAGGTGTAGGCGAAGGGTTAGTTATAGATAGAGATAATAGTAATTCAGTAATCATGTCCGAAAAATTTGACCTAATAATCTATTAATGGACGCGGGTAATTTTTTCTTTTGGGTATTTTACGCAGTGCTTTACTCATTATCTGCTCTTGGAGACGAATTGTTGTATGGTGTAAATTAAAATCAGTGTTACTATCAAAATTTTGCAAAATGGAACGACGAAAAGGTTCGCGACAGAAGCATCAGTCCGGTGAACTACGAAAGGATATGAGGAAAAAGAGAAAGGCACCAAAAAATCAACATCAAGCTGAAAAAGAGGAAATCAGTGTAAGCACAGCCGCAAAAAAATTGAAAAATAAAAACACAGTGTTTGTTCCTGAAGAGGAAACTATAGGCTACCGAATACTTAATTTTTTCACTGTTTTTACTGCAATATCGGAATCTGTGAAATGTAAACAGTGTAGTGGAAACGTTGATTCAAAACTGTAAGTACTCGAGGACTTGGATTCAAAATAATGACAGTTTTAATTCCGTCTTCTCCATTGATTGGAAGTGCTTACGAAATCAATAGACGGTTCTTTTTTGCGGTGAGACTGATAGGGATTGGTTTGAATAGCGCTCAAAAATTTTGCGGCATAATGGACTTACCACCGCCCGTAGCACAAACGACTTATGACCTCATAGTAAAAAATATTCATACTGCTTCTTCCGCGGTTTTTGATTTATTGTCTAGAAATGCCGTTAAAGAAGAGATAGATGCCATGAGAAGTAATGACATTCATAATGATCAACAATTAACAGTATCTGGAGACGGAACCTGGAAAAAACGTGGTTTCACCTCCTTACTAGGCGTGGCGACACTTATTGGATTGTATACAGGCAAGGTTGTGGATATTGTAGTTCATGCTGCAAATCATGCGAATATTGGACATCAAAAGAAAATACAGCGGAATATAACGAATGGAAAGTTCACCACCAGGATCAGTGTTCGATAAATCATGAGGATCCGCTGGGAAGATGGAAGTAGACGCCATAAAAGAAATGTTTCAAAGATCGATAGACCGTTATGGTGTCATGTATACCAACTATATCGGGGATGGTAATTCCAAAACGTATAAAGGCATCGTCGACACAAAACCATATGGAGAATTAGTAATAAATAAAAAAGAGTGTATTGGTCACGTGCAGAAGCGGATAAAGGTATTGGTGGTAGGAATAAGCTAACCGGAAAAATGATAGACAAATTGACAATACAGGGTGTCCCGTTAAGCGTACGGAGCGGCTGTATCTCTAGAACGGTAAGGCCTAGAGGTTTGGGAAAAAAATCCTTATAAGTAAAGTGACTAAGAGAAATAGCTGGAAATTATTTTGAAGTTCGTAATTCGACCGCTAGGGGGCGTAACTGCCATTGANATGGTGTTGATAGAAAAGCTATGGTCACAGCAATCAACCAGACATTTCAGCGGCCAAACCTATTTTTAGTTATAACTTCGTAATGCTGTATCCCACAATTTTGATTTTCTAGAACAATAACTAGAACAACTAGAACAACCCAGAACAACAAAGAAAATTTCACTTTTCTAAAAATGGGGGGCTAGTCAAAAAACCTGTTTTTTCGGTTTTCTCGTGGAGTTTTTATTTTTTCAATTTGCCGCTTTGGAACAATGTAGAACAACTCTAGAACAATCTAGAACAACAATAAAAAATTTAAAAATCAAAAAATGGGGGGCTAACTTCCCGCACTCAGAAATATACGTTTGTGGCGGAAGAAAGGAATACTAAGAGTATTATTGATTACATCAAATACACCCGGAATCTCCAAAACAGAGACGAGAAGGTAAAGACTGAAGCAGAAGCAGAAATGGGAACAACCACAGAGTAGTCATGGCAACGAAAAAAATACCAAGACTAAAATACCAAGAAAAAACAAACAATAAATTTCAAAAGCTAGAACAAACAGAGAATTTAACACTGGAAAAAAAAGTGGAGAATTTTGAAAGAGATAATGCGAAATAAAGCTTTGAAAGTGTGCGGAATGAGAAAATATAATAATCAGAGAAAGAGAGTCCGACAGGCAATCAATAAGAAGGAAGAGATGTACAGGGTGGGCAAATTTGGGTGTTATTATAGGCTATCTCAGAAACTATAATAGATACGAAAAAAGTAGGTGCCATCCCAGTCTCTTTTTTCGAGACTAAGCCAATACCACAAACACCAAACCTCTATCTTCTTTTATTTTTAAGTTACAGCCACAAAGTCAAATTTTCGTGATTTCAAGAAATGCTCATATTTCATATAAGTACGAAGGCTTTCACGGCCGGTGTGAATTAAACTAACATTAGAACTAAAACTAGAAACTTTCGGGTTTTGCCGTGCGTCTTTTAATAAAAGGTTTGACGTTTCGGATGCCATGTTGCAACCTTCTTCAGAAACTGGTTCGAAGTGACGAGATCAAAAAATCGGTAACTATATATAAGTCGGAAAAACTAATTAATAATCAGTTAACGCTAATTACAAACTAATTAATAACTAATTGCGTCGCGTCCGGTGTGAGGCGGGAAGAGGTCTTCGTGTTCACCACCATCTTCCATGTTCTGCTAAGCTCCCAGCCATCCTCTCTGTTGACGTTATTTTTATGTCGGTGAATCTCTATGGCTTCTCTTGTCAGTCTTTGGTAGTATCTGTTGTCCCTAGCCAGCACCTTTGTTTGTTCGAAGTCTATTCGGTGCCCCTCTGCATGGCAATGTTCCGCAACCGCCGACTGCTGGATCTTCTTCAGCCTTACATCCCTCTCATGCTCCTTGATGCGGCACTCGACGTTGCGTCCAGTTTGGCCAACATAAACCTTCCCACAACTACACGATAGTCGATAGACTCCCGCTCCTTTTAATGGAGTTAGTTTGTCCTTGGCTATCGGGAGTGTGTTCCGAATTTTGCTGACCGTGCCGTACCGCACTACGATGTCGTTCTTCTTGAGGTGCCTAGCAATTCGTTCCGTTACACC